GAAATGGATACAAAGGAAAGCATCAATGAGCGAACTGCATCTAGAAAAAAGAAGAGCAAAAGGCACAAAGGTATGGTCACTGTCCTCTCCTGGGGAGCTTTGTGTGGGTTTTTTTGGGACGTTTTTCTTTGTGTGTGGTGGTAGAGGTTGCTATTTACAGGCTAGTCTTGTGGCTCTTCATGGCATTCTGTAACTTGCATGTGCACAAAGAAATGCCAAGGGTTAAATCACTGTTCCCCAGTTCTCCTGAGAAATGTACTGTGACTCAAAAATGTTGACTTTTCACTAAGGCAAAGCTTTGGGTATGAAATCAAAGCCTAAGATCTTGATGCTTTCATTGACTTACTGTCAGCCTTGGAAAACTAATGCTGCTCTTCAAAAGAGTGATGAAACTTTACTACTGGCCACATGTGATGCTCTGTTCTCCGAAAACATTGATGAGAAATTTGTGGTTTTACTACAAATGGATTTAGAGTGAACTTGGCCCTAGAGGCATCATAGAAAGTTAATTCTAAGGAGGTATATCCTTCAGTAGTTATACTTTGTGGGATGCTATAGTATGCAATTTGCAACAAAATCTAAGCAACAAATTAATTTGCTGTGTTGTGGAATCCTGTGACAGGTAGCTTTTAGGCTGACAGACTAAATTTATCTTGGTTTCCTCAACCCAAGAAAAAAGAGTTACCTTTGTTATCTTTTAAAGTTATAACGTAAAGATACTGATTTGTGTAACAAATCAACATCTGCTAAGGATTGTAAATTCACAGCACTCCGCTGGAATAGGACTTCCATGTCTATTTATTAAGATGTCCTTGGGAATTCTGGGAAAACAGGAACATCCCAGTTGCTAGCGTTGTGAGTGTTAAGAGTCTGGAAAGACGATTTCTGTTCTACCACTTTGTTTTTCTTTCAACGTATTGTTTTATTTCTCAGTCATCCTCGTTTTAAAACCTAGCTGTTATAAAACTTACCCCCACAAAGAGTTTGGCAGGTTGCTTAGATCAGTCTGCAGCAACAGAGGGTTGAGGAGCGCTTTAGTCTAAATAGAACCTGTATTTGCTTTTTAATCCCTGTTAATGAATATGAAGAAACAGAAGTGTGAATGGCTGACATCTCTCTTATTTTTAAGCATTCTAGATGACAGATCTGTAGATGATTTCCTGCGTTCTAGTTTTAAATTTATTCTGTCCCTTCTTGAGAGCTAGACCCAAAGCTTGAAATCTTGGTCTGTTCTGTCTCTTGTCTGAAAGGACATGTGATTTTTTTTTTTTAATCCAAATCATAGGTCACCCTTACATATACCAAACTTGAATGAGGTCCTTTAGCCTCTTTAGCTAAGAATATTGCAATGACTAATACTTAGTCTATTAACTTATTTCTACTACAAGTGCATGTTTAGGCAAGAATAAAATAAGGTAATAGGACAATGATAGGTCTTCTAGCTGAACTCAGCAGTTCTGCGGATGGGGGCTTATTGTGTCAGAGCTGAAACAGTGATAAGGATGTTATGGCCTGTGGTGGGTGTGCCTGCCATAAATCTATCTAATGGAAGCAATCTCATCCAAAGCTTTCTATGGCATTGAACGTGATAATTATCACATGAGGGCAAAGTAGACCCTTTGTTCTAAACCCGCTATTTGATGATTAGGTTTGGCACCCTAGAGATCTTAAACTCTGAGAAATGGCAAGTAATTCATCTCTGTGCCATTCACTGGTTTATAAACCTTTTGGCTGTTTTTTTTCCCATCCTGAGTACAAGTTGCCTCTTAATATCCCCAATGCTCAATAGTGTTCAGTTATTCATGTTCCATGAAAATCTTATCTCCTGTGTTTTGAGGAATCTCTGTGAAAAGTGTGTTTCATTAACTTAGAGGCACTTGAAATGAAATGAATTTGTGAAGCTTCAATTCTGGCCACATAGCTTTTAATGCTTCTGAGCGGGATAGCAGGCCGTTCTGTTCATTTTTGAATTTCTGAGAGTTTGCCATTCTGGATGCTGTAACTAAAATGTGGACCTAAGAAAGCAGCTAATTAGTCATTAGAAAGGTTGCAAAAGAGAGAAGCAGGGGACCAGGAGGGAGACAACTTTGACTGTTGGACTTCAGCAAGGAATATGAGAATACCCTGCTATACGGTGTTAATCAGGAAATCCTGTGTATCTCCTGACCTCTGTGCTGTGTTGATTCGGTTTATTCTAAAATGCCTTCTTTTCAAGCCTGTTAATGCCATGAGAAACTGGTGTAACTGGATGCATATACTTCCTAGCAGAGCTTCTACGAGAATCCTGTGATCGTTCAACCTGCTTGGAGCTGGGGAGTTTTACTAGAGACCGCAAGAGGTCCCTTTCCACCTAAACTATTCTATGGGTCTGTCACTTTGCATTCTTGCGCATTCAGCACAGCGGCCAAAAAATGAGGGCGCTTACCCAGCAAAATGAGAGTATAATGTTTATGGACATGTACTTTTATGGACGGACCTGTGCATGCCAATGAAAACCAATAGCAGTGACAATGAAGTTCTACTAACTTGGGCTTGTTTAGATGACTCTCTGTGAACACGCGTGTGTATATATATACACACACATAAACACACAAACACACACACTGAAGTTACTTGCCCTGTACGAGCAGTAGCGAAGCATATGCCTTTGCTTCCATGTCTAGGTGTGATTTGGTAAAGAGATTATTTATTGCAGTAACATATGTTCACTGCGTTTAGAAAATCCTGATGGTGACAGCGGAGAAGAATATCCCATAGATATCTGGCTGTTGCTGGCTTCCTACATTCGCCCTGAAGACATTGTCCGGTTTTCTCTGATTTGCAAGAAAGCCTGGACTGTTACTTGCACTGCCGCCTTTTGGACCAGGCTCTACAGAAGGTGAGACTCTAAAGGGTGTTTTAACTGTTTGTAGGAGGTTTCAGGGGTGACCGTTTGTCTGCAGAGCTGCAAATAAAGGAATGTTTCCTTATAGGCTAGGGACCGTAACGTTTGCATACTGAAATGGTGGTGCGTGCCTCGTTTGGCAAGCGGGTTGCGGTATACTGCATCTGCTTTGGGATCTGGAAATGGATCTGTCTGTGGCATATTCCCATATGCTCCATACAAGATCTCAAAGCCTAGTGTGCTTTTCTGCTTGCCAGAGCCTGCGCACTTCTGTTTGTAACCATGTGCTCCATGTGTAAAGTGCTCAAAGTGCTTACAGTAAGGTCAGGCCGTTGCTTGCCTTTAAAAAAAGCAAGCATCACTGATAGAAAACTTGCCCTACCTGATGCTTAGTTTGTGGTCACCTTCCTGTATTTAGGAAGGCATAAGGGAAACTGCGGGTACCACCAAGCATTTAGGAGGAGCCTCTGTGGTGGAAATGGGCTATAATAAAGTAAGGAAGAGAAGAGAAGTGAAGCGGTGGTCAGAATGAGAAACAAATCTTTCTGTCCTCATGCATGCCACTCACACTTGCCTTCCGGAGGGAAAATTTTATTTCCGTTTTATGGATCTGTTGCCCAGGAGGTACGATCAGCAAGAGTACAAAGCAGTTGGCTGCGATGGTCATCCTTTTCCCCATTCTCTAGCGTGAAGTTTTCTAGCAAAGGCTCCTTGTGCATATTTTCTCTGATAAAACGGTGCCTCGAGCCCAGGCATTCAGCCTGCTCAGGGAGTTGTCCGTGCAGTCAAGCATAGACTCTTTGGGAGTCTATAGGAGTGAGTGAGTCTTTGGGAACTTGCAAGAATCTGTAGGCCTTTGCACATCCTAAAGCTAAAATACCATCTGGTCTGTCTGGACAAACTGTCTGCAAGGGAATTGTTTATGAGTGAGGAAATTGTAGCATGATCTGCTAATGGTTACGCTGGTGACTGCTTTTTGTCTGATACAGGTAAGGTCTTTGCGACAGTCATGTGACTTCATGTAGAGCAGTACAAAGCCCTTGCAGCATTCAGAGTTGATCACGGGTCTCCCTATGTTCATTCAGATGTTCAGTTGTCTCTCAACATTGTTTTTCATAGCTCTTCTACACATCTGTGTCATTCTGACCCTTCAAAGCATGTTGGGTTTGTCGTTTGCTTTTCAGGCACTACAGTCTGGATGCTTACCTGCCTCTCCGCTTGCGGCCAGAATCGATGGAGAAGTTGCACTGTCTCCGAGCGTGTGTCATCCGGTCACTATACCATATGTACGAACCTTTTGCATCTCGAGTCTCCAGGAATCCAGCTATTCCAGACAGTACTCCCAGCACTTTAAAAAATTCCAGAGTAAGTGCCTAGTGCTAAGGAAGTGAGATATGTCTGAGATGTTGCCTTTTCTGTATTTCTGTTCCCTTTCTAGAAAAAAATAACGTTTAGATGATCCCCAGTGAAGCTTGGGTCTAAGATGATTCTCAGCTTAGAATAGTGACTTTTAAAAGGTTCCTGGTTACTTGTATCTGTACAGTTGCTACTGTAATGGATCTTTCTTACTCTTCTGGGTGCCTAAGTCCTACCACAACAGCTTTGTAATCGGCAAAATCACTTGTTTCATTGAATATCAGAACCACTGGTGATAAAATTGGCAGTTTCCCCCCCTCTGTTGCAAATTTGTTGCTGAAAGAAGGTTGAGGTAGGGTCAACGTTTATATCTTCTGCTTTATTCTGACGTTGTCTGCCAGAATACATCTTTTCTTCATAGCAGGCATCTGCAGAGCATCAGAAGCAACATTGATAGCCTCAGAAAGGGACTCATTTCATACTACGTCTCCTGTAGGTCATCCGTCGTCTTTGGTTTCTGCGAGAGGGAGGGTAGTGAGGTTGTGAGCATGGCAAATGTGCAGAGCAAATGTCTGCTTTGGGACTGGGGCTGCAGTTGTGTTGTCCTGTGAAGGATTTGTCACTGGTGTGGCAGGCAATTTCCTTTGCTATCCAAGCTTGGAACACTTGCATATCCATTCCTCTTTGATTGCTGTTATCATTAACTCTGAATTGCCTGTGTTTTTTGTCTGATTTTAACTTACAACTGGCTGATACTCGGTGAACAGCTTAAGCAACAATGTGAATTCCCTACGCTCCAAATCCAAAAACTTATTGAATGAGGTTTTTGGAGTCAAACTGAAGGGGTTTGGGTTCAACAGCTGTACTTTCCTTTCCCCGCAAAATTCAGCAGCCCCATCTATCTGTATAACATTCCTTCTTCCCTACCTCCCTTCTTCCTTCCCCTCTCTGTGAGGATACTGGAAAAAATGTCACACTGCTTAGGGAGCATCCAGCAGTAACACAAGCAGGTGGTGCTGCAGAGCAGGAGAAAAGCATACGTTTCTCTGTTTAAGTCTTTTACCTTGGCATTCAGAGCTTTTCATCCACCAGTTTGGATGTTGTCTGCCTTAAAGAATTAAAGGCCAAAGCGCTTGTAGGAAATTCCAACTTAACCTTAGTCCTTCTGAGCTTAACTTCCTACCAGGGCACGCCCACTGCTCTGGCCTGATAGCGTGGCTGTAAGAGCTAGAAACCCCTGAGATGATACGACAGGGTCAGCAACTTATAAGCATTCATGTTGACATCATAACGGCTTTGGTGCCCACTGCTAGCGCGTCTACTGTACTAACAATTTTAGAAAGATTCTTGAAGTGTAATCTTCTATAATACAGCTTTTTTAAAAAAGGAAATTAAATGGTGATGAGGCTTTGTTAGAACAGTAGAGGTCTGACCTAACCCCTTGGAGCATAGAAGAGCTATCATGAGTGTGGTCTTGCTCTACTCCTGCGTTGCAAGACTCTGGAGCTCTGCCTATATTACTGTGCATTGAAGTGTCTAGGCACAGTGGGTATGGAGGAGGTTCTGTCATTGCCTCCCCACATTCTTGCTTTCATGGGTTTTGGTTATACCCTTACGGGTCATTGAAACTAATGGCAGATGCCTACGTAAATTGCATGTGGCAAGAGGAGACCCCAGTCCTCAATGTTACTGGATCTAGCTTTTGCTCTTTAATTTCCTTTTTTCTTCCCCTAGCCTAGCTTGTGTGGGACACTGGAGCCGTTATGGTGTCAGCAGAAGTGTTTGCCCTTTAAAGACACCCCCATTATTTTTGGTGGAGCAGCAGGCCATACGGCGCGTCTGAAGGGCAGGACGGCTGACCCGTGGACGACATCCTCTGCCCCTTAGGAGGTACTGACCGTTTTGTGCTTCACTACTTGCCATGACCAAACAAGCTGTTAGACCAGGTTGTCTCTACGGGTGAACTATAAATGTCACTAACTGTGGAGTTAAACTCAGCAGCATCTGCTGCACACCCAAGTTAATGAAGATCTGGAGAATGTTATCAGCAAAAACTGAGGGCCACCTCCTCCCAGGTGGAGGCTGTTTGACACATGTTTCTGAGCTTGACTCCACATAGCTTTGTCATTCACCTCAAGATTTGTCAATATAGAGATCCTTCAAGGACTTTTTAATTATGGACGTGATTCAGAGTTTGAGTCAAGGGTCTTGTATCACCTGTATGGAGCTTATTATGGAGCCCCCATGGTGGAGACTGGTCTGGCTTTCTTTTATTTGGAGTCACTCTAACTGGAATTAAGTTATATGTATACTTTCCCCAGCAATCCAAGCAGGCCATCTCTTGGAGTGGGAGAGACTATGTATGGGTAATAGGGAGTTGTTGTCTTTACCCATGTTATTCTTCCTCTTCCTGCTGGCACTATTAATAGGCTCAGATAAGACCAGCTGTGGTGGGCTGGCAACTGTGGTGTGGAAACAGATTCAGTGATGGTAAGGCTGACTTGCCAGATTCTCTGCTTGGCTGTTGAAGAACAGTAGCTCTTCCACTCACTGGTAGCCAGGGAATTTCCTTCCTACCCGTTTTAGTATAGGAGTTTGTTGAGACTCCTATTGGAATAAGTGCTGCATGCTGGGATGTATTGTGTGATACCTGGATTGTATTGGAGGACTCTTGGTGTGCATCTGCGTAGGAGTAGGCAGTGCTGGTTACCTTTGACGTTGTAGGAAGACCTTTTCTCATTTTCTGTTAGAACAGGGACAGCAAGTCAATCAAACTGCGTTAACCTGGCACTATTTTTATACTCCAAAATGTGACAATCAGTGCCCAGTGGTGTCAGGGCCTTCTTTTGACTCTGAAGTGGCCTAGGAACTTTTGTGTCTGTCACCTCAAAGGTCATATACTAGCCTTTGCATTTCTCTCTGGATTCTTTCCTTCTTGTCCCTTTTTCTATTTTCAGATGTTCCTTGCTTTAGTCTTTTTTGCAGCCCAATTTAATGGGGCTTCTTGGTGTGGGCGAGGGGTGAGAAGTGGAACAGATGAATCTGTTCTACTCACCTTTCCCTTATGGAAGGGACAAGCGGTGCAAAGGGATTTCTGTTTAGCAGACTAGCGGCTATGTGTTGTGCCATTCCATTGCATGATGAGTTGGCCAATTTCAGACTGGGAGGCAGAAAATGTTGGGTGTGTTCTTTGAACTTGATTAACTTGAATGAATGGCTTCTAGCTGCTCCTCTGTAATTGTGTTTGTAATTAGAAGTTTTTATGCCCTGCTAAAACTTATTTAAAGTGTTGCCTCTAAGGGTTTCATAACTTTGTGTTTCTTTTTTCCACCTCAGTGTCTGCTTTTCTGGTGCAAAAAGATTGAAGGGAACAGACAAGAATCAATGTGGGAATTCAACTTCAAGTTCAAAAAGCAGGTATGAAAGCTGAACTCTGTCATAAACGAAGAGCTAGAATGGCTATGATTTTTTAAGCTGTAATGATTTCTATGGGTTGTAGAAAGAACAACTCTGAGTTCAAACAATAAATGGAAACTTTGAATGCCATGATAAACTTAAAGCATATTGTGAAACTAAACTCAATTTTCAGTCTATATTACCAACGTGGTTAGATTCCTACATTTTTACTTCCTCATTTGATATCCTTTCTCCACTTTGAGACATGGATCATTTGTCACCCCAAATTACCTAATCCTTAGGTTATTGCTGCTCATTACGACCAAAAATCAGACTTTTGAGTTTCATGGTTGAAATACAGGCCCAAATCTGAAACTTCTTGCCTTAACTTCAGGAAGATTCCCCTTAGAAGTGAAGAAAGTTGACATGTGCTAAGGGAAACAGCCAGTAATGGCTCTCATGATCAGCATGCCATATAAGGCAACCTTGAGAGTCCAGTAGCTCTCCTCTCCAAAGAATGCTCCTGCAAATTCCAATTCCGGAGTGATGGCTTTTAATTGTTTTATATAATACTTTGCCAAAATGTGTGGGACTTCAATGAGAACCTGCTAGTCAGCACCAGGGAGAAGAAGCCAAATTCATCACAGGTTTCTACTTAGCTAAATAAATTTCTATCTTTCAAGTCTCCTAGATTAAAGAGCAACTGTTGCAAAGGTCTTCAGCCACCCATTCAATATGAGGAAGTCCATACAAACCCTGATCAGGATTGCTGTCTGCTGCAGATCACCACCTTTAACTTCATATTCGTACCAATAGTCATGGGTATGACGTTTACCTTGGTAAGTGTTTGGAAAATGTACTAGGCAAACTTTATACTTACAGTTTCTAATAGGAGGTGAAGAGGAGACCTCTCATCGTATGGTTTTATTGAAATCATGCTGTTGCATCAACAAACTAGTTGTGGGCATTTCCAAGTTAATTCTCAGAGGCATTGCTGAGGATTTCCTCAGTTTATTTTCTGCAGAGCCGTCAATGCTCTCCTATTTGGTGTAAGCAAATATCAGTGAGAGAGAGAATTTGCAAGAAACTAAGATTTTGAAATGGCTGGGAGTGGTTTAGTTATCTGTGCTCCAGCAGGAAACAGTGTTGCGATGTTTTTGTGGTCCCAGTTTGATGATGGTACCTCGTTACTGGGAGAAACGGCAGCTTTTGAGTCAACTTCTACAAACTCAGTGGAGTGGCAGCTCCCCAAAGTTGCTCCAGAAAGAAATGTTGTGTCGGAAAGTAGCAGACCAGGTATGCTCGCAGCAAGAGCAGCAGTAAAGCATGGGACAACGTGTCTAGTTGTATTTGTAAGTCAGGGTTTGAAATGTGGCCTGTGCCCAAGAAGGGTTTGGTCTGCCCTCCCTTAGTGTGGAGCAATGAGTTCCAAAGTTCTCTGACAACCTCTTGCTTCCAAGATTGCTTCTGGCATTATTATTCAGGGTTGCCAGCCCAAGAAAACTGGTTTGGATCCAGTGCTGTGGAACTGGAGCTTAGCTCTGTCAGCACCTGAAATACTCTAAATACGTATAACGTTGAGTTCTTAACAGTTCACTTCTAGATTAGTTGAAATTCTTCCATTCATATGTTGCTTTGATTTTTCCAAAAGGGTATTTTCTCCTTTGAGGTGAATAGAATCAGCAGTTATATCTAAATCTTTTCTGTGTGTGGAAATACTTACCTTAAGGGATTTGGTGGTTCTTTATCAGTTCTGTGTTTTAAATGTTGATGTAACCAAAAGGAAGTAGTTTTGATATCCAGTGTCAGTGATCAGAGTCTATGATCACAGTACCTGGAAACAACTGGATATTTCGAGAAACTCTGTCTCCTGCAGCACATCCATGTCATTTTTTCTTGCAGTTCACCATCAATGTGAGTACGGACATGAGACATCATCGTGTGCGCCTGGTGTTCCAGGATGCTCCTGTTCGCAATGGCAAGAAACCCCGCCTTGACCAAGGAGTGCAGGTTGTGTTGGACCCTGTGCATAGTGTGCGGCTCCTGGATTGGTGGCACCCACAGTATCCCTTTTCTCCAAAAGCTTAGTGCTCTCCTGAGTCTGCAGCAGCCGGCAGATGACTGAATCTGGCAAGCTGAAGAGAATTTCTAGGAACCAGGAAATCCTATTTTTATTTCTTAAATAAATTCTGCAGTCTCCTTGCAAGTGGTTGAAGCTACTGAGCTAGTCTGTATGCATATAACTCCTGGTCAGTGATGGGCAGAGCTGAGTGTAAAGTGGAAAAAATTTGTAAACACACTTTTATGTAAAATTCACATTTTATGATTTGAAAGGAGCTCCCTGGAACTGTTCATTTAAAATCCTTTTGGTGCTAATGAAAGTGGTCCTGTTTTCTGTTCTTCAGGAAGAAGCAGGAAGCTTTAATATGACCAGAAGCAATTTCACAAACAAAATCCATGTTTGTTTTACTGCAGCATGATTGCATTCAAACACAGTGTGATGTTTCAGTGTCCAGGAAGCAGTAGCAAAGCAGCAGTGATCAACAATAATGCTGATTCACAGTCAGATGTGAGTTTAAAAAAAAAAAAGCATAAATGATCAAACATATGAATTATTTCAAAGAGGATTTGTAAGGCAGAGGGCTTTGAACGTAAAGATATGCCAAGTTCTCACACTGATATTTCCCTTTGAAAAGAAGATCTAAAACCAAAAGAAACCAAAAGGTGCTTTTCAGAGAAGATAAACAGAGTGGGGGCAGAGGAGATGCAGGGGACAAACTAAAATAATTGAAACAGTGAAGGACTTGAGTCTTTTTGTACAAGCAGTGGAGCAGTGTTGACCTATTGACGCTGAATAGCCCAGAAGCAATGAGTTCTCAGCTGAACAAATTAATTTCCTCAAGGAAGAAGAACCGCCCCCCCCCCCAAGCCTTCTGAGACCACTGTGGCTCTGGGTTGATTGTTCGAGAAGGGAGTGGGGCGCTGAGTCTGGGCCTGTCAGGAGCACAGTGCTGTCGTGTCCTGAATGAACTGGGCTTGGAAATTCAGCAAGCGAACGTTTTGCTGCTGACTTGTGTGTCTCGTGGAGGAGTGAGAGCAGGGCATAGGGCGTACTGGAGTGCAGGTGAGTAACAGTGACGATAGTAACCAGATACTGAGCTTTGCAGCTCATCAATGTGAAGGATTAGGTTATCAGTTCTGTTTCATACCAGATCTTGTCTCGGGCAGGAATAGCTAAGCATTTTTCTGCTGGCCATGTATAATGGTTACTGAGACTTCTGGAATAGAGGGTGACTGGAGAGAGAGGGAGTTTTACATTCTCAGTTTGAATGTAATATGCAAACGCTCCATTGTCTCTGTGTCCTGTGTAGCTGCCTGTCGGGAGTTTATCTTATATGTGCCTTTGCCACTGTGTAAATTGTCACCAAGGACGTCTATCCCAAGCTTGCGTTTACATAAGATACTCGCTCTGTGATGTTAGCTTCGAACTCCTGCCTCGCTGTTTCCCTTGTCATTGCTGCTGCACTTACACGTTGAAGCTGTCAGGCAAGTTACTTTGACTAGCTGGTTTCAAAACGAGGATACAGTGTAAGAAAGATATCTTAACTGTGGTAGCAAAGGTATTTCTTGTTGTAGTGCAGGAGAGGAAAAGTGGTGTGTGAATGCTGTGTGTAAAGGCTGTGAACAAGGGTATTTTCTGTCTCAAGTGTTGTGCAGCACAAATGTATAAAGTGCCTGCAGAAAGGGAAGCAGCTCTAGGGCCAAAAGGTGAACATCAAACTCTTCTTTGCAGTGACGTTAGGTATCACTGAACTCACAGTGACGAGTCCTCCGTGGTTACGTGGTAGAGTTTCTCCTTTTTAATAAATAAAAAATCGACAGTTTGCAAGGTTTGTTTTATGTTGTGAGCAAGAACCTTTCTCAGTTGGTAGTCATATAGGCTGTCCCAGGGAGGATGTCTATTCCATCGAAGCCAAATTTGTAGAATCTGAGGTGCTTTGAAGCACGTGCTTCCAGGTGTTTTTTGTTGTGTGCCCTTGCCTGCCAGTAGTCCTTCAGCACTTGTGTGCAGACTACTCCTAGAACCAGAGGTTAGGAGACAGATTTCTGTAATTTACATTTTGTGTGTGTTACAGGCTTGGTGTCCCTGATGTGAATCATTTTCTCCAGATTTTTGAGCAGTCTGTATGTGACTGCCTAGAGGAGGGAAGTCCTCTACCCTAGGAAGCACTTCCATTTTGTGAAAACAATGCTTGCCCAGCACGCCTGGCTTATTACTGCTTGTGGTGTGGATTTGCTGCTGTTCCCATGTCTCCTGGAGGGATAGAAGGTGGGGCCAGAGAGGTTAGATCTGCAGCTCAGAGCTGGGCAGTAGGAGGAGGACAATGGAGCAGATGGGTATTTGTCTAAAGCTCTGTTCTAGTGTAGCAGCTGTGCTTGCCTACAGAGAGGTGCCCCAGGTGAGTGGGGAGTGGTAACTGCAGTGTGTGTGTTGCTCTTCCTTCTGTAAGGAAATACAGATCTGTTAAATTAAGAATATATTTTAATCAAGTGTACGACACGTCCAGGATGCGCTTTGTGCTCCGGGGAGAAGGTCCTCCAGCAGTAGCAAATAACTTTCAGCCCCATGACTCTCCCTTTGTAGCTTGTTCTCATCTGATGGGGCTAGACAGGGTAGCACAGGGCATAACCGCAGGACGTGGACAGGATGCTTCCCGCTACCGGAAGGCGAGTGCTTTGAAATTCAAGTCTTTAACTCGGGACAAATCCCCCGTAACCCAAGAGGGATGTCTTCTGTGCCAGCCTGCTTCAAGACTGCTGGGCAGTTTGCAGCAGACTGCCAGAGTATGTCTGGTCCTGTTTAGATTAGCAAGGCCCTGAAAGGGAGGGAAGATGTGATGAATCGGCTAGTCTGGGGTTTGTTGCTCACTGACTACAGCTTCCAGGAAGAAGACATAATAGGTACAGGGGGTCCCAATGTATAAAAGCAGTTTCAACCTTTTTTTGCAAGTAGTGGGTGTTATGATGACCTGAATGACAGAGCTGTGCTGTTGATCAGCAGAGCTGGGAGGGATCAGAGCCCTATTGTGGTCTGCGCAGGTAGTCTGAAAAGCTCCCATATCTGTGTTCCCGGTCCAATTTTTTCTCCTAAGACAAATCTTGTTGCAGTGAGATTCTTGAGAGCTTTATACGCATCGTGGTGCCTGAAATCTTGGCTCTGGGTTGCCCTGGCAAGCGCAGGGCTGTCTGTAGGCAGAACCGAGCCCCTTTACATCACATTCTCCCCATTTTGGTCATCACTGAAGTGGTGACTCCTGAGCTCTGCATGGTGTCAGGTCCGTGCTGGGTGTGTGACCTCTGTGCATGTCTGTAAGGAAGAGATTTACCCCCTCGTGGGTTTAGAAGTTGCTTTTCTTTGTTCAGAGGTCTTTGAATGTCTTGTGGTGAGTCACAGGCTTCTTTGCAGGGTGCTTGTAGGAGTCCTTACCTCTTCTCCAAGGCCACAGGGCCTTGGGCCATGGAGTGACTCAACAGTGATGCTCTTGGCCTGCAGAGGTTGCAGGTCCTGCTCACCAGTGCGTATGACTGTGTGGGGGCGTGTTTCTACCTTGCTCCTTTTTCCGGAGCATAGGAACACTGCCTAAGTTTGCTCAGTGACCTGGTGAGTGGCTCCTAACCAGACTTCAGTCCTGAACGTGTGGGTTTCTAACCCCTTTCCTCCAAGCCCAGCTTCTTGAAATCTGCTTGCCAAAACATCCTTTTCTGTATTCTTAAGGGACTGATCCCCCTGCCTGTCACGCTGGTTGTCTGCCGTGACCAGACACGGCTGAGCCACGGTCTCTGCCAGGGCTCTAGGGAGAAGTGGTTGCAGTTCTGTTTAACTGCTGTTCTAGTGGAGTATGGCCCCTCGAGAAAAGGGGCCAGTGTCCTAGTTGATGCAAAAAAGGAGACACAGAGTAGTAATGCGATTTCCTCAGTGCTGGTATTCTCCCTGGCCCTTGGGGCCCTGTTTTATCTGTGTTTTGTCCTGCTTGGGCTTGTGAATAATGAAAGAGATGGGGCCTGCCGTAACCCAATCCAGCCCTGCTCTCCGGTTTCCCCTGTTGAGGGGAAGACTTGGCTACTATCCTGTCCTCACCAAGCCCCGCTCCTTGATGGAGATCAGATGTCAAAATGAAGCTGTGCCAGGGCAAGGTGATGGCTGGATGCTGCAGAGAGGGTGGCAGGTACTTCCAGTGGATCCCCCTGCCCAACCCCAGGACATTTTCCATGCTTAGTGCCCATCTCCAGTCTGACCTGCAGGGAACAGTCCTCCTTGGACCCCCGGACCAGGTGCATGCCCAGAAAGGTACGTGCATATTTGTACACACATCTGTGTGCATGTGCACCCACATCTGTGTACATACCTATCTCTGCTCCCACACATCCACTCCTCAAAGCAGCCCTGGCACCTGGGGAGAATGGGAGCTGTTTTTCACGGGAGTTTATTCCAAGGAAAGCAGGGTATTTCCAAATTCCTCTCTATTCCCCAAGCTGAAACATTAATTCAGTGAACAAAAAGCAAGAGACAGGCCTCAGGGCAGAGGGAGGTTTGGAAGTGGCTGTGCCACCTGGCTGTGCCATGGTCTTTGCAGGAGGGATCCTTTTCTGGCACCCAACACAGCGTTTGGGTTTCCTTGCTGGGGGCAGGCCACGCTCCGGCTGCGGTTTGGCTTGTGGACTCCTGGGGAGGACGAGAGGACCCAGGAGCTCAGCAAGTGGAGAAGGGCCGTGCCCCATATGATGGGGGGCACAGAGGACTGCATCCCGGCTGTGACGTCCTCTCCTGCTTCCACAGGGCTCACTGACTTGCCTGGAGAGGGCCAAATCCTGCCCTGGTTCTGCACCCTAAGATTGCTTCCCCTTGGTGGGAGATGGTGGTAGTGGCAAGCGGTGCCTTGCAGCCCTTCAGGGTGCCCAGCCTTTTCTGGGGCTGGGAACAGGGAGCAAAAAAATCTCTTGTAAGCACTTGGGCTCCTCCCCTCCCCACCCCAATAGCCCCGGGGACCCTAACATCTGCAGGCTGCAAGCTGAAAACCCTTGAAATGAAGCCTTGCCTGGGCTTGCCCCAACGCGACTGCTGGGGTTTGGCCTCATCTCTGCTTCTCCCAGCTCGGCGGTGGGAGCTTCCTTGTGCTGTCAGCCAGCACTGTGCATGCTTGGGCTGCTCCTCGCTGGGCTGCGAGTCCTAGCAGGGACCGTGCCTGACCAGCTACACTAATCCCCCTAGCCCATGTCTGCCATGGCGTGGGGTCGGGGCGCTCGGTCACGAGAAGCCAGCCTGCTTCCCCAGGCTGCAATGCTCCAAGAAGCAGATTCATGAGCACTTCCTGAAATTGTTGTCTGCCGCCCCTTAAGTCTACCTGGTGGCTCTGTCCCGCGGGCACCTTGGGGCATTCCCTCCACTCTTTGTGCAGGAAGGGAGGGATACTCTGACATTTGGGGACGAAAGGGGGGGGTTCTGGTGGCGCTGGTGCAGCACCATGGTGGTGCCTCACTTGCGTAGGTGGCTGTATGCTCCCCAAAGGATGCGTTTCCACAGCAGGGCTGCGCCCAGACACCCGGCTGCCGTTGCCCTTGCACCCACCTGTGCCCCAGCAGCAAGCGCAAGCGCTGTGATATGCACGGTATCTCTGCCTTCGCCCCTTCCTGTATGGGCAGGAAGGACCAACCCTCAGTTCCTTCCTGCGCAGGGATCAGCGTCACAGGGTCTCCTGCCGCTGACTGCTTTGACAGGCCTTGCAAGCCAGCTTCTCCCCACTGAGCCTGGTGTCGCTTCCTTACCAGCTGCAATCAAATGGTCAGTCCCTGCCACGTCTCTGAGCTTGCACTGTTTCCTCTGCAGCTTCCTCTTGTCCCTCTTGTCTTCTTCCAGCCTGGGTGCAAGTGCTGGAAGCTCATTTGTCCTTACTCTGAAGCAGAAATGGGATCTCTGCCAAGTTTCCCATGACTGGATGGGACAAAGGGGCTAGGATCCCATGAAAGGAAGAGCAGATTAGAAGAATTCAAGGATTTAAAACAAAACAGCTTGGAAAAGAGAAAGCCTGCAGAGCTAGGAGCCCGTGAATGTGTTTTGCTCTAGTAGCTAGCACTGCAAGTTTGTCACCTGCTTCCTGCCCTGCCTTGTCTTTCCACAGCTCCCTTTGTCCTTGCGGTAGTGTCCGAGACCCACAGTTTGACCTGAACGAGAAGTGCTCTGCGCCTGCTGGGCGCGTCGTCTGGGCCGGTGCTGGGGCACCGGTCTGTGCTGCCTGGAAGACTTTGAGGCTGATTTTTAGCCAAAGGAGCCTGAAAAAAGAAGCCGGGGCCCTATCGAAGGTAGGAAGGAGGGTGGGTCTGGGCTGGCCAGGAGAGGAGGCAAATGGGAATGTATTTCTGTGTGGACAACTGGGCAGCACAGGAAGGGAGCGGAAGGCCAGTGCTGGATGCTGCGGGCTGGGAAGGATCAGTTCCTCTCATCAGATGCTACAGATGAATTGCCAGTTGGGAAGAGAGAGGTTGTTTGGAGATGTGTGCTGCTGTGAGCCGGGTGCGCTACGGCTGTTGTTTATTGCTGATAGGCAATGGCTTATGAGGCAATTTGTTGGGGATGCTCCAGCCATCTGGGCTGCGAAGCAGGGCTTACCAGAGCTGCACAGAGCCGTTTTGCCAATGCCCTCCAATTTCCGCTGCGGGCCTGAAAGAGGGAAGTGGTGGCTGCAATGTTGCTGGGGCAAAAGTGAGATTTGTTGGATGCAGGAGCTAGGAGCAAACTGGGCCACAGGAAGGGCCCCGCAGAGCCCGTGTTTGGCTGTGGGGCAGGAGGAGTTCGTCCTGCCTCCGCTGGGGCTGTGATGCCTGATGGCGGCAGCGAGGAGCTGGGGCATATGGGAAAAACCTTGGTGCACCCCTGCTTTGGGACTGGGGGAGTGCTGGCTCCTGGTCGGAGCAGCAGGATGTGTTCCCAGCCCAGGGAGCTCTCCCAGGTTTGTGCCCTAGCAGGGGACCCCCGGGGTTATAATCCTGGCTCCCAGCTGCCATGGTAGTTTCTGCTTGCTCAGTGCAAGAAAATAAATGGTGGCAAAAAAGATGCAACAGCTATATATCCTCAGGCTCCTGGCTTAGTGCATAGTACATTTTGATCTCAGTGGGACATGAGGGACCAAATTTGCAAGGGAGTTCAGGGTGCTGGAGGCCAAGTGAGAGCTTGGGGGGGTGACCCCAAGTGACCCTTGGGGGGTCGGCTGCTGCCTGAGCACCTGGAAACACCCTGCGCCTCAGGATGAAGTAGGTGGATGGTGGACCCTGGGGATGGGATTGCAGCCAGCATCTGGTTTAAGGACTGGAGGGAGACTGCCCTAACCCCAGCAGCAGGTCTCCTACACAGGATGGCCTGGCTGTCCCCTAGTCCCGCTGGGCCAGCAAGCACTCCCCAGCGTGGGGGCAGAGGACGACTGCGGACGCTCCTCCTCTGCAGGCGAGGGCTTGGGGTGGGGCTTGCCGAGTGAGAAATCGGAGCCTGGCTGGTCTCGGGAAACCGCCAGGGCTGAGCGCCTGGTGAGATAGGCTGCCTGGCCACCTGCCTCAGCGAGCTGTGCACCAGGCTGCCGCATGCCACGTAAGTCTCTGCCGTCTTGGTGGGCATGTCTGGAGCGGTGCGTGGGCACGAGCCGTCTTGCCCAGTGGCATGGGAAGGTGCTGCTCAGGAAGAGGATGTCCCTGAGCCAGGAAACACCTGGGGACCTGGTGGGGAGGGGGGGTGAGGGCACTGTGGTGGTGGGCTGCTTGAAAAGAGGTGTCCCCAGGCCATCAGCTGCAGGGATCCAAGCCGGACCCCAATGCCCCTATATCAAGGTGCCCATTGAGGCCCCTCCACCTCTCTGCACGGTGGGGCCATGGGAAACGGGTGTATTGACCCAAAAGCTTCGATTCCTGGCGTCCTGTGATAGACAGACGTGGCTTTTTCACCCCTTCCTACCTGTGGGATGACCCTTTGAGCAAGGAGTCACACAGAGAGCAGGGCAGGGTGCTGGGCCAGCTCTGTGTGAGCCTGCTCCACACCGGGACCTAGGACCACCCTGTCCCGACTGGCTGTGACTTGTGTGGCCAGGAAATGGCGCTGCCTCGACTTTTTTTTTTTTTTTTTCTCTCTCTCTCCCCATTTCCTCTACTCGAGCAAGCAGCGATTCCTGGTCCTGGGCTGTGCCATGACTATGCGTGACTGTGTCCCCCCGGCGGGATCCCGCTGGGGACCCCACTGACTCAGGGGGCTTTGGAGAAAGGGGGAATTAGTGGTGAGGGGCACTGACCTGCAGCTCGGGGGACTTGGCCCTAACACCGCTGAGCGACACGCAGCCTTTTCTCCATGCCTCAGTTTCTCCTGGTGCAGATAAGTGCTGCTGATGGTGGGGAAGGTGAGGCCCGGTTGCTCTTGCAGACTCCCGCTCTTTCCCCATCCTCCCTGCAAAAGCTCTCACCGCTGTCAGTGCGAACGGCCCAACCTCTCCCCCATCCTGGAGGAAGTGCCTGGGAGCCACCTGCCGCTCTGTGCGCAGGGAAGGCATCTGGCCCTTCCTTGCAACCCTTGTGGGAGCTTTACAGCCAGTGCAGTGTTGCTGGGAAGACGTGCCACGTTCACCACCTTTTCCAGGAAAGCTGAGCCGGCTTGAGTGCCCCAGCTTGTCTCCCCTTCCTGAGGCTCAGACTAGCTCCTTAACCTGGTACCTGGGAAGAGGAAAGCACCCCTGGCACGGCAGCAGCGCGATGCTCACTGCCCCGCATGCCTCTGAACCTGCGTTACTGGTGCCAGGGCTGCCCATGGCAGGATGGTGGAGGGTGCTCGTGCCGGAGGGTGGGCATCAGCCCAGAATGGTCCTGCCCTGGCTGCACTGTTTTGGGACCAAAGCATCCCAAATGATCTGCAGGCGGTGCTGCATGGTGGGTGCAGAGAGGCTGCACCAGAGGGCATGGTGGGCTGAGCCCCGAGACCGTGGTCATTAGCATTGTTAGATAGATGGGCTCCGTTGCCCATGTGGAACGGCTCATTATCCAAGAAGCCCCTTCTATCTGGGATGGGGGTCTCCAGGGCTCCTGTCAGTCCTCCAGGATTTGGGAAGCCTCCAGATGTTTTTATTTAGCAACATTAAATTTCATTTTCAGCCAGCCTATCCCTTTGCTTGGTTTTGGTCTGTCCCCAGTGCAGGGGTGATCCCACACAGGTCAGGCTCAAGCCTGTGATGAGGAATGAAAACAAGGCCATGTATTTCCCTGTTCTCTTTCCCCTCTGTTGTGGGATTGAGTCACTGCTGCTGTCACAGAGCCTGTTTGGCCTGGGAGTCTCCTAATGGAGCAGAGGAGCGTGCTTCGCTCCAGGCAAGCCACTCTCAGCAGCTCCCAGCCTCTCCTGGCCACGTGCTGAATGTCCCTGCGATGGCAGGGCTCTTGGGACTTCCCGTGCAGCACCGAGCTGCAGGGAAGGATGCATGAGCTGAAAGCACGAGAGGAAGAAACGGTGACAGATGCTCTGCGGAGGTGCCCTGAGCATGACTGGGTGGGAGTCTGGTGCTGCATCGCAGGCGCACAGCGAAGGTGATGCACTGCCTGTGACATGCTGCAGCATTGCCCCTAGTTATGCACTGGGCCACTTCTTTTTCCCATGGAGACAAAATTGCTCAGGGTAAATAGTGCCTTGGTGCACAAAGGCCTGATTAGGGGGCCAATTAGTGGGTGGTGTCTGTTACCTATTGTTTTCTGTTAAGCCTTCAAAGCAGGGAAATGCCAGAGTGGTGAGGAGTGGGGATCTGAGGGTGTCATGTTTCCTGCAGGCTCTCCTCTGCCCCAGTGCTCCTGTTCCACTGACAAAAACGCTGCTTGTGAGAAGCTGGGGGTTGCGTAGCAGCACCTTGTTTTCCATCCAAGACCAGCTCCCTGGCAGCCAAACTTCATCTGATCAGTGAGGAAAAACCCTTGGCTGCACAGAGTATAAATTTGAGAAAACCCAGTGAGTGGTGATATGCCAAGCCCTGCTGTTCCTGGCTCGCTCCATGGCCTCAGTACTGAGCCCGTGATGTGCTCAGAGCATGAGCATGGCAGTCTGGGCTCAGGAAAGGCTGGGTTCGATTTCGAGCAGCTCTGAGAGCTTGTTCCCACTCTGAGTGCTTTGAAGAACCATCAGTAATTGGAGAGATCGACTTGGTCCCAGGTGCTGTGCCAGCGTGGTCATACTCATGTCCCCTTTCCTGATATTTGCTGGGTTCAAGCTCCCAGGAATCAGCTCTTCTTGGTTGAGACAGATCTTGCTAGCTCTGTGGCTCAAAACCAGGTGGGAGCTGAATCAGGTGAGAAAATGAGCTCAGCCTTTTTGGACTGTTCTCTGGACAAAGTGAAGCTTATGTGGTCATGCTGTTTGTCTGCCTTGCCTGCTTCCCCAATAACCTGAAGCCTTTGCTGATGTCAGCCGAGTCTGCCCAAGGGATGAGCTCCCAAGGACCTGACCTAACGGTTGGGAGCGCAGGGAGAGGGACACAGCACCCTGCTCAGAGAAAGACTGCTGCAGGAGCACAACCCTTTGTAGACACCAGAGAATCCACTGGGAAGCAATCCCAAAAGCACAGAAAAAAGTGAAACTTCTGCAGAGATAATTCAAACAGCTGTGAGCCCTAAAGCCCCAGGAAACCAGACAGGCTCAGAGAGTAGCTCCATGTGTTTTAATTGCTTATCAGAGTAATGAGTGACGTTCCTGGGTGAGGTCAGTGTGGCAAGAACGTTGCTGGTTGCAGGGATGAGCCTTCCTGTACCCTCACCTAGAGCTGCCAGTGGGGGCCAGGTACTGTGTATTGGGATATTAATAACCCTCCAGGGTTTCTGGGCAGGCAAATGGACAGGTTTTTCTTTTTAAAATTATGAGGGTCTGACACATGCTCTGGGGTGGTGCTGCCCTGGCTTTGGTGTTTTAAGGAGTGCAGGTGGGCTGGGAGCATCCGCTACAGCAGCAGGGTTGGGCAAGTCTCTGGGTGACCGAAGCTACTGGTTTTCCGCTTTGAATGTATTTTATCTCCCTGTCAATGCTTTGAATGAGGCTTAAAATTCCCTAGGGAGTTTATGCAGTAATGTGTTTAAGAAGTCCTGGGTGAAGCCTGGCCTTTGTTCGGGGTGCTGGGTACAGACTGCAGAGGAATACCCAAGCTCCTCAGCCTCTACTTTCTCTGCTTTGCTAGAAATAATTGGGAGGCTCTGAAACAAGCCTGGAAGCTTTCTCAGCTTTTTATTAAAGACCCTGAGAGAGTTCTTCCTCCACGTGTTTGCATTCAAAGATGCTTTGACCCAAACAAGCCAAAGTGCTGTGAGCAATTTGGGTACATGTGCCACGTCTGTCCTGTGGGGTCAGGTACCCACTTGCTCTCCAATTACCCTGTCTCCCATAGCAGTCCTGGACACGCTTGTAATGGAAAAAACCCAGGCTAACACAGGAGCCTTTTAGCTTTCTGCCACACCTCTGCTACAGGAAAAAACATCTCAAGGGCAATGATAGTTCAATGATGGCACCTCCCCCTGGGAATGGCTTTCTTGTCCTGCAATGGAAGGGACATGGCTGGGCTGGGGGAGAGTGTGGCCATCAGGTGCTGTGGTTGGTGCGGCTGGGGTTGATTCTTTTTTTTTTTTTTTTTTTTTTTTTTGCTGGGCAGTGCTGGGTAGCACCCTGCCTGCCCAAAGAGGGTGGTGTCTAGGTGCCTCCTGATCCCCACAAGTGTGCACTTGTGGGTGCTCAGGGCTGAGGGACCTGGCCTGGGGGTGTATCCAATGTCCTGTCTGCGGGGTGGAAGTTTTCTGCAGGCTGTGCTGCACTCTGACATGCCACTTCCTCCCACAGGCCCCAGCCCGCTGGCCTGGTGCTATGCGGTGCTCCCTGAAGCGCTTCGTCACGGCTGCCCTTGCAGCCGCCTCCCTCCTCCTCCTCTTATTCCTCTTCATGGGCAACTGGTGTGGGCAGAACCTGGAGGCTCCCCTGGAGGTGAGACCCTGTGCCAGTGCTGTCCTGCTGAGGCATCGTCTGTCCCCATGGGAGCCTGTGCTCAGCCTCCCAGTCCTACATGGATACCAACCCCTGTCACTGCTCCCTCTCCTGCTCACATCATCCTCAAAACCCCAGCTCTGTTTCCCACCCCTGCCCCACAGCTTCCCCAACCCCTGGCTCAGCTCCTGCCCCTCCTCCAAATCATCCCCAAACCTCCAGCTCTGCCTCTCGCCTCTGCTCCACATCATCCCCAAAACCCCAGCTCTGCTCCTCCCCTCCCTGGGGTTGCCCCACACACCCGGGCCTGCCCTGGTCTGGGAGCCCCCATCCCCTCCTTGCCCCATGTGGACAGCATGTCTGTTGGGCCCTGGGGTCTGACCTGGCTGCCTGTGGCTCCTTGGTGGAGCTTAGGGGCCTGGCCCCAGATATGGTCCTGCACGCGCTGCAGCAAGACAGGGTCCTTCGTGCCCTCCAGGACCTGGACAACGTCTCTGCACCTCTCAATGTCTCCAACTACCTACTTGCTGGCTCCCCACCACCCACGCTGCAGCAAGACAGGGTCCTTCGTGCCCTCCAGGACCTGGACAACGTCTCTGCACCTCTCAATGTCTCCAACTACCTACTTGCTGGCTCCCCACCACCCAACAAGAGTGAGTGGCTTCCGGGCCCTGGACTGGGCAGGGCTCTGGGTTCATCTTCAGGAAGGACCTGCCCCACTAGCTGTTATTGCTGGGGTGGGGAGGGGTCTGCTGCAGGCGTTTTTGGACCTGGGGACCTGCCTATACCCAGTGGCCTGTGTGTCTCTGTGCTTCTGTGCATGGCTCCTGCCTCCCTGCGGCCAGCCTTGGCTGCTCTGCCCAGGGAAATGGAGGGATGGAGGGAGGTCACTCTGCCCTGCAGCATGGTCTGTGCTTCTGTGCCCTGGGACTGGGGTGGGGGCTGCAGCTGTTTCAGGTTTCACAGCTCTCTACAGTGAGGGTGGCTGAGACTCCATCTCACTGGGGATGTGTTTTCTGCTCTTTCTGCGCAAAGGTGCCTTTTCCTGGACTTGTTGTACCTCTGCAAGGTTCAGAGAGGACCGGGATTTTCAGCCTACTCCCAGGATGTGCAGTTATGCTGCAAAGCCATCCCTTGCCCCATGGGCCATCTCTGCCTGGGCTGCACTGTTCCTTTCCCATGTTTTGCATTTTTAGGCTGCTTTTCCCAAGCTTTTTTTCTCTTCAGAGGAGCGCCTGGCATCCTGCAGTGTCCTAGCCTCACCTTTTGGTCCAGTGTCTTGGGCACTTCCTGAGATGCTGGTGGCTTTGGCTTCAGTAAGGACCTGCCAGTCTTGGATATGTGTCCAAAAATGGCATTAACTGCGCAGGGTGGCTATGCAGAGAGCTTTCTGGAGCCCCCTCCTCGTCGCTTGCAGCACAAGCTCATCCCAGTGCATCCCCAGTCATCCCTCAGTTCACTAATCCCTTCTCTCCGCCTTGCAGAGTTCCTGACAGTGGGGATGGCATCGGTGCAGCGGCCGCGTGGCTACTACCTCCGGGCCACGTTGCAGTCCATCTTTGAGCAGTCGACGGAGGAAGAACTGCAGGAGATGGTGGTGGTGGTGCACCTGGCTGACACAGACCCGGGCTGGAACGCCCGGGTGGCTGCTGACATTGCCCGCAGGTTCTTTCACCACCTCCACCTGGGCCGGCTCCTGCTTATCCATGCTCCCCATGAGTTTTACCCCACTCTGGATGGCCTCAAGAGGAACTACAACGACCCAGAGGAGCGGGTAAGGTTCAGGTCCAAGCAGAACGTGGATTATGCGTTCCTCCTTGCCTTCGCCGCCAACCTTTCCACCTACTACTTGATGATCGAGGATGATGTGCGGTGCTCCAGGTCCTTCCTCACAGCCATCCGCAAGACACTGGCATCCTGGGAAGGCTCCAACTGGGTCACCCTCGAGTTCTCCAAGCTGGGCTACATTGGCAAGCTCTACCACTCCAGCGACCTTCCCCGCCTGGCTCGCTTCCTCCTCCTTTTCTACCAGGAGATGCCATGTGACTGGCTCCTGAGCCACTTCCGCCTTCTGCTCACCCAGAAGGATGTCATCCGCTTCAAGCCCTCCCTCTTCCAGCACGTGGGCTTCTACTCTTCCTTCCAGGGCACCATTAACCGGCTGGAGGATGACGACTTTGAGGCTGATGCCTTGGACCTACCAGACAACCCGCCAGCAGCTTTGTTCACTGACATGGCAGTCTTTGAGAACTATGAGCCCCTCAAGGCTTATAGCACAGCAGAGGGGTATTTTTGGGGGAAAGCCCCGGCAGACGGCAGCGTCTTCTGCATCATATTTCAGCAGCCAGTCCGCATCACCCGCATCCGGGTGCGCACAGGCTCCATTGAGCGCCAGGGTGACTTCTTGCACGCAGGGATACTGGAGCTGGGCTGGCAGCGGCGGGCTGATGGCCGGGACTGCTCTGTCTATGCTTCTGTGGGCATCTTTGAAAAGGGGGCCTTTGAGCGGCAGGAGCTGGAGAAGGGGCTGTCTGACCCTGTTGAGTGCGTGAGGATACGGGTCACCCAGAGCCAGAGCGAGTGGCTTATCATCCAGAGCATTGACATTTGGACAGCGTCAAGCACCTGACTGGGGGTGTATGATGGGCATCCTAGGTGGCCAAGCCTTCTTTTGCACTATTTTAAGGCCTCTCCCCCCTGCCCCCAGCCTTTTAGTAGGGATCCTCTGTCAGGTTCCCTACTAAAAGGAGGGGGGGCCTGCTACCGGTGTCTTGCCTCCCCACTCGATCTATCCATTTGGCCCCTGCAGCCACTCTCAAGGCATCTCTTTTGGCCCCAGAGTGCTCCAGACCCGAACTTTCCCCACCTCTCAGGCCCCACTGATGGCCTCTGTGCAGTCTCCGGAGCCCTTTAACCCCATTCAAGCTCTGGGTGCCTCCACGAAATCTGAGGGCACCCAGAGGTGTGTGGGGGGTGGAGCACAGACAGACAGACACACCTGGGTCTCTATAGGGAGCTTTTGGGCAGAAGAGAGTCTTATTTCAGACTGGACAGTAGAAAAAAAAAATCTTCACTGGGAAGATGGTGCATGGGACAGGGCTACTCAGCTAATTAATTGAGAAACAGAATAATTAACCAGGCCGTGGTTTGTTCTGCAACCTCTCCTTCTTGCCCCCACCCCCATCTGACTTTTCTAACCCACCAACTCATGATTTCTAACCCTCAATTATTTTCCTCTTGTATGCCCTTCCTGTTTTCAAGCTGTTCCTAGGAGGCCAATGGAAGGTCAGTGGGTGCTGCTCACACAATCCCACACCCCCCCAGGATCAGGGACCCAGGTGTCTGGGCACTGCACAGACACCCCCCCCCCCCCAGGCTTGGAGCAGGACATCCAGCGCTGGTGATCACTGGTCTCAGTGGTGACTGGAGGAGCACTGGCCACCAGATGGACCCATCCCACCAGCTTAATCCCTACCCAACAGTCACAACAGTTCTCATCTGCCACTTGCAGAGGAGAACAATCATTCAGTTTTCAACATACAAGGTGTAATTCTGATCTTCTATTCAGCCTTCTTGTGACATAGCTTGTAGTAGTTTTCCCTTAACCATATGCAGTATTACTCTGGTGGCTAGTGTTTTAAGCCCAGCCCTCCTGGAGCAAAATGATTGCTCTCTAGGCATAGACATGCACAAATCAGTGCTAAAAGACCCATGGACCAAGCCTTACTGGCCTCCTACAGTGCCAAAGCACCTCAGTGCTGTAAGCACAGCTCTGTCCTGAAGTACTGCATGAACTTGCTCTCTGGGCCCTAGAAGGCATCCTACAGAGCAACAGCTCAGTGCTATGGGCTCCAGACCTGGAGTGATGGGGCATCTGCCTGAAAAAAACCAGCCATATAATATATCTGTCTGCATTTAATATAGAGATGCTATGTGATAAACTCAGCACCTTCCTTACATTATAAATATTCTCAGTGGAATCAATATATACTTTGCAGAATCACTTCATTTTCCTCCATGCTGCCAAAGTACAGTCAGAGCTCTCAGACAATTTTCTTTATATTTTTGAGAAGCACAAGCACGGCCTTTCCAGGGCCCTGAGACCCAGACAGCAAGCATATCTGATACGCCAGTAAAGCCATTGCCCCTTTTCTCTTTGACGCAAATGCCACTGAACCCACTCTGACAGTGTCAAGGAGTATTAAGGTGGGTACAAATTAAATGCGTTCTCCCCAGTATGTTTTTTAACCACTGTCAAACCAGAAAAAACAGAAATGTAAAATGTAAATCACCCCTTTTACCTGTTGATCTCTTCCTTGTGAATGTACTAATTAGTTTTGTGATGTCCACCCACACAGAACCAGGCTGCTATCTCAATTATGCTGGTTTAAGCGTGTAGAGACTTCATTGAAGACAACAGAAATCCTCTAGATTTACACCAGAGTAAGGACAAGCAACAGCAGACCACTGGCAGGGATCCCTGCCTCTTCCTTCCAGTGCAGCGCACTCAGCAGAACAGCATCTGATTAACATCAGTGCCAACTGAAGGAGGAGGAGGCCTGGAGCAGCACCTTTTAGAGAAGGCATCTGTGGCAAGTGTAAATGGAGGCAATGACTGACTTCCAGGGAGCAGCAGCATACAATTACACCAGAAGGCCTAGGCTTGTAGTTTGTGGTAGGATGTTGAGTCCTAGAACTGCACAGCAAGGAGAGTGACTCTGCTCCAAAGCAAATCCACCTCCTAGCGCTGGAGGCAGGCAAGTTGTAACTTTGTTCCCTCATACCTATTTTTTTTTTTTTGCTCCCTAAACAGGACTGCACAAGTGCAACTCCTCCAAATACTTTCTCTGAGACCACAGAAGTGCCACTAAAGGGCAAACACATTACTGGAGGGCTCCAGGTTTCAACAGACTGCCATATGACAGCACAGTAGCAGAGAATGGCTGAGAGAAGCCATGTAGTGAAACTAATTTTATCTCATAGAAGCCAGGAGTGGACTCAGCCAACTTACAGTACTTCATAGCAAGACCCTGTCTCTAATGGGGGGGGGGGCTGATGGAGACTTCAGTCCCAGCAAGTACTGCCTGTAGTGTCAAACCAAGTACAGTGCACTGGAGCTGCAGTCCCCACACAAGTCAACTTGTTAACAAGGGCAGCAGCACTGCATACAACCATTTACATGCAGCCATAGGGCCAATGGTCAGTGCAGATCTCAGTGGGCAAAGGTTAAGGAGCCTCTGGGCTGAGATGTAAAGGACAGGGGGACAAAACCAGAACCAAGCACCTTCACCTGCCCCTCTATATGAACACTGTCGTGTCAGGGTTAAAGCTTTCAGTCAAACACCACGGATGTCCTGAAGGATGGCCTATTGTCTGCCTCTACCAACTGAGCTACCCTGTCTCTTGGGAAGTGGTGCTGCGTAGCCGCTCGTCTAGCTCAGCATCTTGTGGCGGTCAAAAACGGTCTTCCTCTGCTCCTGCACCTGGCGCTTCCAGCGCTGCTGGGCTCCCTCCACCCTCTCCAGCACTGTGTTGGCTCTGGCACCAGATGGGGTGGGGACTGTGGCCAAGGAGCGAGCATCCTGCAATGCAAAGAAATAGGATGAAAAAGGGTCAAAGCAAGGCATGCCCATCGCAAATACAGATGGCTCATCTCTGGAAGGAATTTCTACAAAAGGAGCAATTCTAGGCTTGAGCTGTCCTGACAACCTGATTTTCAGAGGTCCTTGACACCACCTCCCCAACTCCGACTAGAAAGGCTGCTCTTGGGAACGCCCACAGCAAAATCACAGGCCCCGTAAGAGGAGCTGCCCCACGACTTCTGACAGTTATGTCAGAAGGCCCTTTGGATGGGGGCCTGTTGTGCCAGAAAATACACAAAACCAAAGGCAAACACAAGACCTATCCCAAGGAGTTTACAGTCCAGTGCGTTGGAGTAAGAAATCTCACCTAATATCAGGAATCTACAGTGTCCATGTAGAACTAAACCTGAATTGTTCCTGTTACAGCCAGTGGAGCAAAACCACACTTTAGAATACAATTCATCTCATCCTGCAGGACCTCCTTTTTTTCAGCAGAGGGAGGTAATGGATAAGATGGGCACTTCAGAGCAGCTACTCCTCACTCACCTCAAATGAATATGAAAGAATCAGGCCAAACCGTGACTCATTTACAACAGAGTATAAACAGGACAGTCTGATCTAGTGCTTTTCTCGGAGACTGGGGAAGAATGGTGTCTCTGAACAGCTTTCCTTCTCAGAGTGTGACTGAGCAGCTGGTTTAGAGCTTCATCACTAGAGAGGCTGCGCACACAGCAATCACAGGCCTTAGGATGGTGAAAAGAGGATGATAAAGATGATAGTTGTCTTTCACATAGCTCTGTGTGGATAGCTAACGAGCCAGTGCTACCAAGAAACTCCTTTCAACCACTTCTTAGGCTTCACATCACACAGACGTCCCCCGTGCTAGCCAGTGCGACTACAGGTGAACTGTATCCTCCTGAGGGAGGATAATTATCAAATTATCCTGTGCTGCCCCCTTGCTTGGGTATCATCTAGTATATCTGCAGAATCATCCAGTGGGTTTAGAGCAAAGCTCTCTCCAAAGATAGTCCTAATTTTCTTCTCCAGGAAAGGAGAACGGATTCTTTACAGAAGTGAAGCTGGTTCACAATGGGAGGAAGTATTCAACAGCTCTGCCAGCAAAGAGCAGCAAGACATTAAAACAACACCTCAGGTTCTCTAAGTCAGAAGATGTCCGCGGTGCTGTGTCCAAAGCACAAACCATCTCAAATGGAGCAGCAGCAGGCAGGATGCAGATCCTAGGACAGACTGGGAATTTGCTAGAGGAAAGTCACTGCCTTCTTCATTGATGCAGCCCTTCAATGATATGTCAGTGGCTCAGAGCTGGCTCTGCTTTACAACCTTGGCAAAGGTGCAGCTATGAAGGTGATCTCAGTTAATTGATATCTCGCTGGGTTTTTCATCAAGTTTATTTTTGGAAGCAGTCAACTCCAGCTTGCTGTCCTGCCTCAGTGCAGGGATACGAGTCAAGGACAACCTACTGAATGGAGACAGGTGACTGGAGTGGCAAAAGCTTACAGCTTCGGGACAGCACGGAGGTAATCAAAACAGCAGTCTTGTGACAGACAAGTCAGAAAAGGGGGTCTTTGCATCCTCTCCTGCCTAAGTCAAAGCAACAGTCAGGGTCCTCCTTAGTATCTTTACTCCTGCCACAGAATGAAGTACTCTGAAGGCAAGGCCCACGGTTAACTCAGACTGAGTCCCAAGGTCCAGATATTCTCAAACAGCTATTTTACAGAGAAAGATGCACTTGGCTTTCTCAAAAGGACAGTCTGAATGGGTTGCCCTTCAGGGTACTAGAACTAACACCCCGTGAGCACACTCCTAGACATAGTCTCCAACAATGAGCAATGACAAAAAACAGCTGAGCTTCAACTTGGCTATGCACAGGGCAGGATGCAGCCTGTCACACTGCTCTGAGCACAACTGGACAGTCACGGCTTGTCCCCTATGGAGTTGCTGCTCCGCATTTTTCCTTGCCTTCACTCTCCTGGGAGTCAGAGACCAAGACTGACACCTCTTTCACTCGTGTCCATAGTCAGGAACTGCTGGGAAAGGCCTCCTCAAGAGTCTCCCAGCAGCTGCGAGCCTAGAGGTGGCAGTCAGGTAGATACTTAAGCGCAGCCCAGGGGCTCCATCAAGTGAAGAAGCTCAGCTCCAAAACAGAGCTCTGCCTAGCATTACACCCTGCTCTAACACCACCTCCAAACTGAGAAACCTACAGAAAAAGTCATGTTCTAGGACCACACATTCCACCAAGGAGCAGCAAGTCTTGGAAACAGCCCCTGCATCCCTCAAACAGAGCATGAGCCATGGCTGGAATTAGCACAAGAGCTAATCACTGCATGTGGAGCCATGGCTGGAATTAGCACAAGAGCTAATCATTGCATGTGCAGCCGTTCCACTCCTCCACCATTACTGTATGCTAGCCATCACCGTTGCCTCCAACACTTCATCTCTGAGAGACCATCCACATCTCATCTTCCCACATTTCCCTATAGGAAAAGGGAACCCTTAGGGAAGAAGAAATAAGATTTACAAACCAGAGTGCTCTTGTTCTGAAAGTCCCCTTGAAGCCATAACCAATCACTCCTTTTGGAGCATTATCTCTCTCCCAAAGGGAAGGATGCTGGAACTGCATGGATTTCATGCACTGAGAAATTTGTCCTCCTCCAAAACCTATGAAAGAGGACAGGCTCTGCCTTTGCTGCTGGATCCTAGACTTCTTGCCCAAGATGCAATGAGGTGGGGTCCCCAAAAGAGATGGGATCTGAGTGCAAATTCTGCTCTTGGGGCAAGCACAAGAAACAAGGGCCTGGATATAGTAGGGTCCAACCCCAATGCAGGGTCCAACAACAGCAGCAACAGCTCAGAGTCTGCTCTTTTAAGCAGCTATAAGAGAGGCCAGCCCCATGCTTCAGCAAATGATTAAACCCATCCTTCCCTGGAATCTCACCACCAAGTGACTACATACACACTGCACAGATAGGAGCCATTTGACTTTTGGTGTCATCCACACTGTGACGTACCAATCAAGGTCACACTGTAAAAAGCCACCCTCTGCCCCAACCCTGCTAAAGGCTCAGAGGACAGGTCTCATCTTGCACTCTTTGAACTTATCCTTGTGCTTCTGCATGTTCTAGCACAGGTTTGAGTTACCTGTGGTACGTGTTCAAAAAGCAAAGTGCCAGTCCCACACTGGACTAGGGGACAAGCACGGGGACACTGTTTCCCTTTCAGCCATTCCCTCGTGACTCTACTGTCATCCCACCTCCCTGTCTCTACCATGACTGCAGCCACCCATCTCAGCCTACATGCTCCAGCAGCATAGGCTCACCTCATTCTCCTCCTCATTGTGCAGAGGCTGGGTATAGGCATCTGGCTTCCTGATCAGAGGGTCCACAAGCACAAGGAAAGCCATGTAAAGCAGCAGTGCCCCCACCACAGACAAGTAAATGATGATGATCACCTGCAGTTAAGGACAGCACGGTGGGAAAGGATTCAGAAGTACTGACAAGAAGCACCACAGAGGCCTCAAAACTACCAGGAAGTTCCCCTCATGGCTGCCTCTGATGCTTGGTCTCTTCCTCCATTCTAGACTAGGAAGTCTCTTGCCCCTTCTTGCAGGAAGGCTGATGCTGGGCACTGAGAAAAAGTGTCATCATTGCATACACCATGCTGATCATCTCTGCACTGTGCCAGTTTAGGACATGTGCTGCCAGTGAAACAAGACCAACAAGACGGGTCCCCAGTCAGAGGCATCTGGCACTATTACACACCCTCAACAAGGAGACTGGGCTCCTGCGCAGCATGCTCCACACTGCCAGGAGTTCTCTTGACTCAGAGGTGGCACCCCTGGCACCAACGCTGTGTGCTACTTGTACTACTTTTATTTTACCTTTTGCGCTCTTCTCCGGGAACCCAGCTAGTCTAGCTCTGTCTGGGATGGCTTGGCACTGCTGGGAGAAGGAGCCAGCCAGAGAGAGGATCCACAATTACCTTGATGGTGGTGGTGCTGCGCTCTTCGTACTTGCATTCACACAGCAGGCAGTAGGCCTCCACATCGTTCCCTGGCACTGGCATTGGCTCCACAACATGCAGGCAGTTACTGCAGTAGAAAGAAGCCAGAGTCAGTGTAAGGACACGGTGAAACTGGTGCTCTTTGGAAGGTTGCTGGGGTTGACCCTTTTCTCTGTGCCTTAGCTTTCCCATCTATACTATCTGGCTGATAATGCTGGTCCAGTTTTGAGGTCACAGCTCAACTAGCTCAGAGTTCCTGTGATAGACTCTGCCAAAGGGCCCTTTCTGGGGCATTCTGCATGGATCAGGTCCGGGTGAAAGGGATCGGAGCATCATCCTATAATCTGCTAAGAGCTCATGGTCTTAAACAACCAACCAACCAAAATAAATAAATAAGTCCTCCCCCCGCTCCCCAAATCATCTCCCAGATTCCTGAATCTCTGTTCAAAAAGCGCCTCTCAGCTCAGTGGAGTGTCATCTATTGAAATGGCTTCCTCTGCAAAGAGCTGGCATGCAAGGACAGTGAATTACCTCCTCCACACAGGCTTGAATCTCTGGAGTGTTGGCCTTCACGGACCAACCCACAGGCTTCCAGAAAAGACTCACCAATCCTTCTGCGGCACATTCTTGTTGTAGATGTGCCCACTGATGTTCCGGTATGGGGGACAGATGCACTTGCAGCGGATGTCCTCCGAGCTCTGCAGAGGCAAGAGAAGACAACATTAGTAAAGGAATAAGTGGCTACAGTTCTGCAGTCCTCACCCAGGGCTGCAGGAGAAGGGAAAAAAACATTCCTTAAAAAACAGATAACTTCATGCCATGTCTCTTCCTCCTGCTGTGCTTCTTTCGCATCAATAGTTTCAAAGTTTTAAAATATCTTGAGCACCTCTGCTCCAGAGGCCAGATACTCTTCAAACAAATTTTTTAAGCGCAAACTCTAAAACACAACAGAAGACAGGGCAAAGACCAATGTCATGAATATTCACAGCTCTATATAGTATAAATACACATCCACGGATCTGTTAAAGCACTCATTATCTTTGCAAAATTCCATAGAAAAAGTTGTTTCTCTGCCATTTTTGTTTCTGTTGTGCTGCATCCACAGCTCAGTGCCTATCTCAAAGCTGTTCCCTCACCTTGCTGGCTTGTGCTGGAGGAGAAAGGACGCAGCACAGCAGTGCCACCAGCAGCAAGGAGTTTGCACACTTCCAGGTGCACTGGGCCAACATTATGAGGGCCTGAGGAAACAAAAAAAAAAATCACATCCAGGAGAGAGAAGCTGAATTCAACCAGAATGAGTTACAGTTTGAGCCTTCTCTTCTGACCCAAGGGTCTTCTGACCCTTCTGCCTCTATTTTACCCAGGAAGTAGAAGCATCCCTGTATCAAAGCCAAAGCTGATCAGAAGCTCTTGGAAATACTCCACACAGATCCTGAAAGACATGCCTGCCCAAAGAGCTTCCACCATCTAAATAGCTATGGATGTCCTTCACAGACCTACAAGCCATGCACCCAAACTACCATAGTCCTGCCAAGGATATTGATGGCTCCCTTGCAATTTGATTTCTGCAACTATACATAATTCTCTTGGGAGCCATGAACTACGGCAGTGGAGTGGAATATTTACCAATTCCTGAACTTCCTTTACCACAAGGTACCCGTTTAGTAAAGTCCTAAACACTTTATTATTACAAGTTGTAAGCTTGGTGAAACTGTTATATTGCTTTTGCTACACGGGCATAAACAAAGTTGTTACCGAGATGTGTGTTTGCACAAATCAAATGAAATAGGAGTTTGTTATCTTTCCCATAAAAGGCAAAGAAAGTTAGTCCTAACAAAAGACTCACATTTCAACCCTGGCAAGCCTGGAGACAAAAGGCACAGAAGGTATCATGCCACCTTGGGGATAGTTCCAAAAAGCCACTTCAGCAGAGGTTTCTTATTCAGCTCCATATGGCATACATAATCTGACAGCTAACTCCAGGTACTTATATTCTATTAGCTAACATAATTCCATTAGTACTTACATCACAAGGATATTACATCACCATTTTCTTCATCTTATTTCAATATTCTAAATTGGAGGTAACTAATTCTTCATAGGTTTAATGGATCACAACCACCAAGTTCCTCTCTTTTTTTATCTAAACAACACTATCCACTTTTGTCAAATTGATCTGCCAAAAAATGTTAAAATGCATTCCAGACCTATCAGCTTATCACTTCACAGGATTTTTTAACCCTACTCCCCAACTAGCAAAAAACAGGCACTATCCCATGAAAGGTGAATTATTTTTCCCATATAAACGCTATCACCAGTAAAATTAACAGGTTTTGGACTTAAAAGATCAAACTGCCTCTCAGTGATTTTGATTTCACTACAGCTAGCAAATCTCCTCACACAGTAAACCCACAAGTAACAGGCATTACCTTACCACTTAAATATTCAGAATTGGTCTAAACATTTAAATCTACTCTAAGCTGCACAGCTCCTTAACTTTGTAGCTCAGTACTGCAACAATGATAATAACAATTCCTCAATCAATGCTTCTTTCTTTGGAGACACCCTCCTGCTACATCAGCATCATGGTTCTAGCTCTTCCTCCAAAATTTTGGTTAATGTTTGATGTATTTGAGTTGCATAGTTACCACTCCCTATCATACGGAAATATTTTTGGACTACTACCTGTTTGAACTTATAAAACAACAATGGAATATATATCTAGAGTTTAGTGGTTGCCTGTTAAGCTAAATTGCAATGATCAGAACAAGTCTTAACTGTCACTGCTAATATGAATAGGGAAAATACGTGATGTAGTATACCGTGTTCACCAGGAGCAAAAAAACAACAACAAAAAAAGGAATGATGCATAGACACTGAGTCCACTCATAATAAACTGCAAAATACTAGCAGCCACACAAATGACAATGTACACATAGCTCTTTCCGAGTTTGAGGGCATACTTGCACATGTGCCTTACAGCTACTGCCCTCCAGAAAATCATCCAAGCTTACAGTGGCTGACTCTCTAAAAACATCCATATCTGGACCAAACACTAACAACGCTTGGAATGACAAGGAGAGGGACTCAAACATGGGGAAAATCTCCGAGTTGTGACTGAGAAGCGTGGCAGCCCCTAGACACCTCAATCCCCCCGAAGTAGCCTTCAGCACATCTGCAAGCATTCGTCCTGGGTCAATACACTCTTCATCTTTCCCATCATCTGGAACCCTTCTGAAGTCTAAATCTGCAACGGCTCCAAGGCGTTACCCACCGCCTCCCCACCCCGGGGCTTCTGCGCACGTCTGCGCTCTCGCCTCCG